GTGCCCCGTTACGCTCCGCTGTGCGGGGCTCACCTTTGAAGAGAGATGCGCCAGCATCATAAGTGAAAACCAAGAAGGTCTGGAAGTTCAGGCTGCAGAAGCGGAACAGTAACAGACCCTTCAGCAAAGACAGCGGCTGCCTGGAAAGGAGACGCGACCCAATGCAGACACGGTTAAGGAAGCCAGTGCAGTGGGATACTGCAAGCAGGGGCAGAGCAAGGAGAACAGAAAGAGAGGGGCTGTGTTTGGTTCCTCCCCATTTAGAGGAAGGACCCTGAATCAGACACAGCAGCTGGGCCCAAGAGCAATCAAACCAACACTAAGTATCGCACGGCCCTCTCCTGTCATGCACACCTCTCCCCCCCTTTACCCCCCCGCTCCCCAAGGCGGCTGAGCCCCGTTCTACACTTCACCTCTGCTTGGACATCAGCTGGCCACTGAGCGAGGAACCTGTGATGGAGAAGACCATGGCTACCATCCCGTTCCAGAAGCCAAGCTGCTGTGGGGAGAATCCGTGGTCCAGCAGGAAGAGTGGGAACATGGTGGTGGCACCTTGCTCACCTGTAAGGGAAAAGGACACCAGTGATCCACAGCCAAGTCCATGCTCTGCTGGATTGCAGCTTTCATCTTCGTGAAGGGAGGTTCCACAGAGGATGGAGAGAGGCTGTTCTCAGCGGGGGCCGATGGCAGAACAAGGAGCAATGGGCTCAGGTTGTGGCGGGGGAGGTCTAGGTTGGATATTAGGAAAAACTATTTCACTAGGTAGGTGGTGAAGCGCTGGGCTGGGTTCCCTAGGGAGGAGGTGGAATCTCCATCCCTAGAGGTGTTTAAGTCTCCACTTGACAAAGCCCTGGCTGAGATGATTGAGTTGGGGTTGGCCCTGTGTTGGGCAGGGGGCTGGATTCGATGACCTCTTCCAGCCCTAGGCTTCTATGGACTCTTCCCTACATGTGGGGTTGTCCAACAGCACAACAGGAAGCTTTCATGACTCTGTTCGATCCTTAACCCAGCTCTGGCAGATGACCCTGTCTTAGTTTATACTTGTTACACCCAATAACTCTTTTCCACTGGCAACCTTGCAGGGTGTCCCACTCTAAACACGCCTTTCCTTACAGGAACCCCCATCCTGGGCAGGCACTCACCAAGCTTGTAGAGGAGGACAAAGCCAGCAGTCCACAGGGTGCCCGGCACACAGAGGAGCTCCTGGAGAATTCTCCAAGGGTTGAAGGTTCTTGCCCGAGGCTGGCTGTCCTCGGAAGGCCGTCCCAGTGTGAGACACAGCCCTGAAGCACTCCACACATACAGCACGGCCAGAAGATAAACAATCGCCAGAAGCAAGAAGAGAATCCCCCAGCCCAACAGGTGCATCAAGGACAGGAGGCCTCCTCCCGCCAGCACAGAGCCCAGTTTGTAAGCCACCACTTGGATGGTGTTGCCATACCCGATCTCGTGCTGCCCCAGGAGCCGAATGGCTAGTCCATCCACCGCGATGTCCTGGACAGAAGCAAAGAAGTTCATGAGCAGCAGCATGGCAGCAACTGGCATGAAGTTGGTCTCTGGCGACATAGTGGCACATGCTAGGCAGGCCAGCCCCAGACCAGACATGCTGAGCACCAGCCAGGTCTGCTTGGTGTAGTACTGATCCACAAGAGGAGCCCACAGCACCTTGAGGATCCAGGGCAGGTAGAGCATTTTGGCCAGGCTGATCTTGGTGAAGGAGAGGCCCACGCTGCGGAGATAGATGGGCAGCAGGCCAGACTGTAGCCCATACGGCATCCCTTGGACAAAGTACAGGCCCCCCAGCAGCACATACTTAGAGTTCATCCTTCAGCCCCAGGGTGAGGGGCTCCCACAGGACACGACGTTGGGAGATCCGCTGGGCTGCGGGGAACACAAAGACATCACATCCGGCTCGGCGAGGGGAGAGGCCCAGGCAAAGGGCTCAGTGCAGCAGGGATTAAGCCATGGGCCTCAACCTGAGCTTGGGAGATCAGGGTGCACGAGAAGGAAGTGGTCAGGGCACTGGACCAGGCCCAGAAGTCACCTGATGCAACAACAGCAGCTACCATGGTACCTGTCGCCTTGGTAACTCCGGCTCGGCGAGGGGAGAGGCCCAGGCAAAGGGCTCAGTGCAGCAGGGATTAAGCCATGGGCCTCAACCTGAGCTTGGGAGATCAGGGTGCACGAGAAGGAAGTGGTCAGGGCACTGGACCAGGCCCAGAAGTCACCTGATGCAACAACAGCAGCTACCATGGTACCTGTCGCCTTGGTAACCAGCCCTGCCACAGCAACACCTCCCAACGCCACATCTAAGGCTTGGGGTCGAGGTGACAGCCACGCCCCAGGGTTGCCATGACAACATCCTCCAACCTGACA